ATCTTTCTGCCGCTCATAATATCTTAGTTCATCTTTGCTTATATTTATTTTAACTTATTTACGTAAGCCTTGATATTTTACATAACCCTACCCTTTCTTCGAAGCATTCATCATTAACTATTTAAGAGCTTGATGACATTTGTCACGACTGATCTTCAACTTGTGTGGACTTTTCTTTACAACACACAATATCACGAAATTAGTCACGCAATGACACAAGTAGAGACAACAGTCACGTTGTTGAATTAGTACCTTCATTCTCAATAAGGTTACCTGGAGCTTGCTTCAGGACTCGACCCATCTCGCAAGACCTCTGTTAACCAACTCTCTGTTAATCATAATTGTCTGGAAAATAAAAAGCAAGGAGATCAACAAAGCTATAGACCCCTTGAATTGATTTCCTAGAGGAATGGTTCGGGGGGGGGGGGGGGGGGGGGGGCTTTTTTTCTCATGCAAAAAAACTATTTTTTGTGGCTCCCAGAACAATTCCTCTCGAGAATCTATACAGCTACATGGCCTTCCTCTGAGTATTATTATTGTTTTAGTAATACTCGAGGAGATGGGTTAGAGTGGATATGAATGAAGAAAATATTCGAGGTGATACACCTCACCAAAGCCGATAAATAACAACAACAGCAATAACTACAGCAGCAATAACAGCAGAAACAACATCACCAGGACCTCGTATTTGCAAAAGAAACAAGACCCAATCCTTTCGTAAAGTCAGTTGGCCATTTAAAATCGAGCAAGGGATTGGGGCAAGTTAATAAGTTTGAAACTCAACACTCGCCAATCAACATGGCGGCTATGACGTCATCCGCATCCCAACAATATAATTTCCAGTCAAAGACGAGTTTACCTGTTGTCCTTGAACCAGGTAGAGCTCAAGACAGGGTAGCTGGTTACGATGTCCTATAATACGAGCTGTTAGCACAGAATTCATGGTCAAGTCCTCCAAGACAGCAGATGCAACTAACGAAAAACTTTCCCCTGTGAAAACAGATGTACGACATATCATACTTCATGAACTACCAGGGGGTAAGGGGTAGGGGCATAAGCTGTTGACAATCTTGTTATTTTCGTGATTGTCAAGTGCATGGTTAGTCATTGGACATTGGATCGACACACAGGGTTTCGAGTCCTCGTCCAGTCCATTGTGTCATGTAAACTGACGATTTACACGGTCTTTTACCCACAACTGTGTAGTACAACATGCTTACGCAGTTTCAGCTGCCATTTACAATCGTAAGCAAGTTGTACGGTCGATTTACACGAAGCAATACGTGTTGTCAACATTTTGTAGGTGACAGCTGTGAGGACAAAACGTACGTGTAAATCGGTCTTAAGCAGGTATAAGATGCTGCTTGACTTTCAAAACACTTCTCTCCACCCAGGTGGAAATTGGGGTAGAAAGCTACTTGGAGGACGTATCTTTAAAATGGTCCTCTATATTTGATAATACTTCAGTATAAAATTCAATACTTTTTTGCTAAAAGTCCGTGGAATAACCCATTTGTATTGTACCGTTATGTACTATAACTACCAGAATCCTTTGCACAATTTGTCTTCTTCGATAGCAATATTCTCGTGAGGAAATAAGAATTTCAATAAGAAAGAAAGTTTGCATGGCATTTTCATTGGTAGTGGTAGTATAGTAAAATGACGCCATCCACCAAACGGTCTGTTATGCATGGATTCAAGTTCTTTATCGACCAAACAAGCCGGGGTTTCGTAGTTAATCGCGGTCGAACAAAGTCATTGTGATAAAGTACATAGTTCAAAATATCATGATCAAGAACTCGGAACCTCTTGTAACCTCTTCCGCCTCTTTTGCAATCTTAGGCGTTTTGATCGCCCCTTTCCCCTTTAGATGCGTTCATTATCCGATAAACACGAGATTTTGAGAAAAGATTTTAACTTTTCTTAAGTAAAACATCAAAACAAGGTCGAGAGAATCGTTTTCAAAATCTGTTTGTGTGTTGCAGAAGGGCGGTATGATCAGCTTAGCAAACGCTTCGATTAACGCCTAATAAAACACTACTGTCGAAGGCAAAACTCCAGGAGAGAAAACTAGATCGTTTCGCTATGTTTTGGTATAATTTTTCCGTGTTTTYAATATGACCAATCGCTGAATCAGTAAACGATAAACTACAAAGATCAGACACGTGACTCTAACCTCCTTAAACCAAGCAGTTGTGTCAAAATGAAACCCAAAAATGGAAAGAGCTCCTCGATATTAGCAACAAGGCCAAGTTTAAGCTGATAATATACACCTATTTCAGAAATCGTTGTCGCACCAAAAGCCTCAAGCAACAAGCCAAGACCTCAGAGAACGCCGGTACTGTTAGCTGTAATTAGTTTATTCATGGTGCATTTTCATTTATTGACTTCACAAATTGCTCCAAGCAAGGCTGCTTGAGATGATAATTAGTGTAGAGCTATAGCCACTTGCATGAACCATGAATAAATCAATTATAACTAAAAGTACCGACGTTCTCTGGAGCCTTGGCTTGTTACTTGAGGCTCTTGGTGCGACAACGATTTTCGAATTAGGTGTATATATGTAATACACAGTTTAGTTAGGTTATGGGTAGGTAATTCTTTTTCCTCTTATACAATATTTTGTGAAATAATCATATTAATGGGCCAGCCTGAAAAAAGTTTTACTTTGTCTGTAACTTGTCTGTAAAAAGTTCCTATTTTTACTGAGTGTGGAATAGAGGAGAAATGGCATGAAAATGACAAACATTTTACTTTGGATTTGTATGGGGAAACTCGCTGAAAGTCAAGAACTGTCCAACACATTTCCCACACAAATCCTAATAGAAAATTTGATTTCATTTTCAATGCCATTTCTCTCTCATTTTACATTTTGAGATGAGCCGACTTTAAGGGAATGGTCAGTGATCACGTTATCATTCAGCGCAGCGTGGACTAGTAACAAGTCACGTTCGTACCTTGAGCCAGCAGTCTAAGCCAAGTAAAATAAAGTTTGTGAACTCACCGTTCAGCGGTGCCACGTTGGCCAAGTAACATTCGACAGCTTGGAAGGGCAAAAAGCTGAGAAAATCCGACCTGGAAATAAAAACAAACAAAACCGTAAAAATAAATTATGACATCGCAAATCACATAGACAAACGAGAGCTTGACGCAAGTGATCGGATAAAAAAGGGTTTTAATTTTGAATTTGTTTCAGCGTTTTTCATCAAAAAGTGACGACGTAAAGGGTATTCATTTCGAGTGCGCGTAGGAAAGCTGTCCTCTGAGTTATTTGAACAGAGGGCTGGAAAAGATTAATGCGAGAATAATTACTGAATTAGGCCACTAATGAAAATACGGTACATAAGAGAGCAAGTTCAGAGTCGGGTCTCTCGATGCTTAACCGATGATAAAACTAAGCATCTATTAATTTATTTTTCTTTGTCAATTTGTTTACCAGGGCTCACAACAGCGACCTTTCAACGTCGGTCGAATTCAACTGAGATGAAAAATATAAAATTATCACAAGTGCCAATCGTATAATGAAAAGCCAAGTGACTTTTACCTGAAAAAAATATTCGTGTTGCTACGTAATGAATTTCTTAGCTTAAGAATTTATAATTTTTTACATTTGTTGTTTTATTTTATTATTTTATTTATTATTTATTTTCTTGTTTAGAATTTAGAATTTATTTAGAATCCTGTTTTTCTCTTGTTGTAATTCTTGTTTTCAGTCTCTGACTCCTTATCACGAAGAACTCACAAAACTTTTGAAACGGTTCTCAGGAAAACGAAGAACTTCGTTGACAGGAAAAAGAAAAGCCTCCAAGAAGAAATATATGAATGAAATGGAAATAAGAATAAGACGCGTAATGACTACCGATAATGGAAGGGAAGTTTCCAATATTCTGGTGTAATGTTTCGTTGTTCACTGTTCAAATTTCGCTACTGCAACGGTACAAGGAGGCGTAATTATTTGCCAATTTCATAGTTTTCCGATGTCGTAAGCTTAGGAACAACTCTGGTTTTACAAGAACGTGCACAAGTGGAAGTCGAAAAATAAAAAGGGCTTGCAATTAGTGTTTCATATGGCTGGTGAAATTGAATTAGGTGAATATAATTATCAGATTAGTACATCTGGTAAAGAGGTGTACAATTGAACACGATATCAACTGTAGAGCACGTTGAAACCGTGTGTCATTGTGACACCTCCGCGAAATGACGTAAGTACTCTTGAGTGTGAGTGGGGAGAATGGGGTCGAGGAATCGAAGATTTGTTTTAGCGATGATGCAACTTACGGTACAGGTGACGTGCAAAACAACAAACAAACAAATAAACAAAACTAAAAAAAAAGAAAAGAAAAAGAAAACGAAAAAAATAGATTTCCGACACTAACTAGAAATTTGAAACATCCAGACTGGCCGCAAAACTTTACCCAAAACATTTCACTTTTAATTTCAGATCTCATTTTTAGTTTTTAAAAGATAAATAAGGCCAAATATAATGAACTTTTAAAATCTTGCATCTCATTCGATATCCTGCATCTCATTATCTATTTGCATAATTGTATTCTACTACCTTTCTGCAATATATATATATGGTGCAACACGTGGTCAGTCAGTCTATGTTTTACCAAAATTCTGTTTAAATGCCCACCATGACAATATTCAATGCGGCACAACACGGCTGGGACTAGATATATTGACGTTAAAAGCTTAAACTTATATATTTAGTACAGCCATTTTTGCAAATGCTACATCTAAATTAAACAAATACTAATATTCGTATATAAATTTAAAACTGAAAAGTTCGATTGTTAATTGTATTGAAAAAAGGCGAATTCATAAAATATAAGCGACAACTTAAAAAAAAAATTGAAAATTTAAATATAAGATATATTAGAAAAAAATGTCTGCGCTTATCTAGATTTTTTGGTTTTAAATATCTACGATTATATCTCAGTTCTTTTCGTATTAAATTTCTTAAGTTAATTCTAAAATCCGCTGAGATTTCCAAACCATAGCTTTAACTTTATTTGCATTTTTTTTTTTTTAAACTCTAAGGTGCTTTCCTTCGCTGCAAAAATAATAGTCAGTTTACATTTTTTGAAAGATTGGATTCATTGACGCACAAGGGTAAAAGTGCTTGATATTCTTCTCCTTTACGTTAAATGAGCGAAAACAATATCGCTCGATTTTCACTTTAAGCTAAGTGTAGAACATTCGGAATTTGAATTCGAGCATACAATTGCAGAAAGATGACATGAACTTCTGGTATACGTATTGCATACGTAAGTTAAAAGCTTACCGCTCATATTAACAAAGCAATCGGACTAGAAGAAATTTGCTTTTTCATGTTTTGTTTGTGATTGAGAATTACTGCTCATAACTTAGATTAGCCATGGTCTTGGAGTTCTAACTTCAAATCCTCTCTCTTTTTTATCCACGAATACTAGAGAGCTACTAATTGGAAGGAGGACAGAAACAAGAGCAATACAAAGCAAGCCTTCATGTAGGATTCTTTGAACAAGAGCACTCGAGGATTCGAACATATTACTTTCAAAGAACTTCCTTGATCTCATGCTAAATGCAAAAGTTGGATTCGGCGATTCAATGTGAATTTGGCTTAGTCAAAACAGATGAAAAGATATAGCAAATAAGCCTCTGATCGATAGATAAATTATCGAATAATCAAATCAGATTATTATAGCAGATAGAAGACGCTTGCATTACATTTAGTTCCCGCAAAGTCGACTGCAACCTGAGATCGTGAACAAACTTAACGAAGGTAAACGAACGAAGGTATCCCGCACTCGAACTAGATCCATCGCCGGAAAGGAAAAATGCATATACTATGCGAGCAGAGGAAAATTTTATCACAAGAATCACAAAATAAAAGAAGAACCTTGCGATATCTTTTTCCGCTGTAAAAGGTAAGATGAGCACCAAGTTTCCTTCCACAAAGCCACTTTAGGAAAACCGAAAGTTTGCATCTCAAAATCTTTGCTCAAGAAATATTGTACAAACCGCGCGCCTTGATTTCATTTTCAGGTTGCTCTTGTAAATAGCTGATTTATTAACAATCAAAAGTAAATACAGAAACGCTCACCTTAGTTGTCGGAGCGACGAAGCAGCAATTCTCCCATATCCTCCATAATCTAGATATTTAACCTGAACTTCGTCTCCATTTCCAGTGGGACCAAAAACCTGAGCCCTGTACCAGCCATCGTAGGTGAAGGCAGGAGCAGCACAATATGAGCCCACAATTATTGGATGTGGAAGAGGCATAGTTAGAGGCATTGCAGCTCCTTGGCCGTAACACTCCTGCATTGTCTGGTGAAGCTGTTGTAACTGTGCTTGTACACCATCGTTATGCAGCTGGATAAAGAAATGGTTTGCATCCAACACGCTCGTAACGACGACATTAAAGTTGGCCATGTTTGGAAGAACAGTCTGGACGTAAGGCACAGGAGTGGCAATCGCCATGGGAGTGACTATCGGAGTGACTATCGGTGCTGCTTGTGCCGATGCAGCATTTATACGGTTTAAGGGCACGGCTGGGAACTTGTCATGAATGGCGTCCAAAGCTGACTTAATCTGTGAGCATTCCCCTAAGATAGAAATGATTCGGTGGGTAGAAACCTCACCAGGAGATTGAGGAATCAGTCGTATTTTTGCACCAGAGTTGTCAGATATTACTTTGACGTTCTTCCCCTTGCGACCGATGAGACGACCACAAAGAATCTGTGGAAACTCCACCTCCCAGACCAACTTTTCTGTGTCACCAACCTCTGAGCTGCTAATGTCAAATGGAGTTTCTGCATAGCTAGACAACGCTACGCTATCGCCACTGCATTCGCTCAATGTTTCTTCCCCAAACCAGTAATCTTTCAACTCGAAGGAAGGCTGTTTCGTGAGTTCAACCCCCGAATCGATAGTACTCCAGGAACTCTTCTTACTTTCGCGTCTATCACGTGTGATTTTAGTATCTGAACTAGTTGTGTCTGTTTGTTTGGAGTCGTCATTTTCAAACGGATGAGAATCGTCGTCTTCTGTCATCTGTTCACCATTGTTTGGGGTCGTATCGACCTCGTCTTCCTCATGTTCTTCTTGCTCGAGTCTCTCAGAGTTAACAGAGCCATTTTCGTCATTGTCGTCTTGAGAAAATTGAGATTCATTCAAGTCTTTTTCATCACCTTCTTCTTCCTTTAGTGTTTCGTTATTGCTAGTCTCATTTTCGTCCTCTAAGTTTGGCTTTTGGTTTGTCTTGATAGAAGGAATATCTATATCTTTACGCCGCCATAGAAATGCTAAAACGATGGCAGAAGCAGCAACGGCAGGCAGAGCAATGGAGAGAAATATTTTTGTTCTACTTAGCATTTCATACAGTCACCTGAAAATAAAAAGACAATTTGTCAAAAATTTCCTTCTTGGGAAATTTTTTGACCATGGGTTTTTGAAATAACGACTTTTGGTCGATTTTTTTGCAAAGATTTTCAGAAATCTCCAGTCTCACATGGAGCAACGAATGGTCAAATAAGAGAGGGAATGAGTCGAGATTATAAATATAACACTGACTGGGGATTACGAAGCGAAAAATAGATACTGCTCATTTAACAACTGTTATCGGGTGTAGAGGGGCTGACGTGGGTTAAAAAAAAAAAAAAGAAATATAGGTAAAAGTAAGCATGATGAAAATATGAATACCAAAAAAAAATCATTGTTAAGACCATATAATGTCTTTGCTTGTCAACTAAACAAGATGGAGGCTAAGAGATTTAAGATTGAGCTACTCAGCTTTTACTTCTTATGTTCTACAACTTAGATTTAAAACTTTGGTTATTCTGGTGTTGCATTTGAGCATTGTCCAGTTAACGTGACCTTTTTATTGTATTAAAATAAAACTAAGATTAATGAAGGTCTCTCTATTTTCAAGGAAACGTCCGAGAACGTAGCCTCAATGACATCATCACCCGTTAAGATGACCGGCCGCCTTCACAACAACTACCCCGAATTTCAACCTCCAAAGAACAAACATAAATAGTGGAGGTAATTATTGGACACAAAAACAGATGTAGGAATTATAGCTGAGTTCGAGCTAGACGTACTGGACATGTCGATAAGAATAACAACTATTTTAACATCCGAGCATGAAGAATTTTTTGCGTTACATTTTAGAATGCAAATTTTAACTAACAGGGATTGTTTTCGTGATGTTATGTTGAGTATTTAAAAGTCGTCCATAAACTGTTTGCTTTTGGATATTTATTTCGAGAAATAAAGGAAAGGAGAGGGCCTCGTACAGCCGTAAGGTGGCTAGATTTCGAAATAAAGTAAACAACGTAAATCTTCTCCGAAGCTACTCGCCTGAATAACACATCCGTAAAATGATATAAAGTTTCTGAAATAGGAAAACTTATATGTGAGCACTATTCCAAATCTATATAGCTCCTAATAATCTCACAAAATAGATTTTCTTTTTCTAGCTTTTATAGCGAGTTATAAAACAAATCTCATAAATGCCGAATATTCGTACGAATTTACGGCTTGCAAGAGCTAAAGAAAGGGAAGTTCAAAAATGGACTCCCGTTAGAAAATCTAAAAGCATTAATTTGAAACATGGGAAAAATCATTATGTTGAATTGTTTGGCTGAATTAGACAAAAAAAGTATGATAAATATAAAGCAAAGTGGATAAAATTAGTTTTAAAATGAACTCAGCTTCGGCTCTAAGCTAACTATTTATCACAGTTACTTGGAAGAACTGACGAAGGCGTTCACTGGCAAAATGAGAAAATCCTTCCCAGAAGTTGGTGAAAATTAAAACAAAAATAAGGTTGCGGCGTCAATCAAGCAATTTTTATAGTCAAAAATCCATCGAGAATTGTACTTTCTTTTCACTCCAACAAGAAAATAGTCGTTTGAGTAAACAGTCAAAGTTTGAAAATATGGCGATAAATACGAAAGTTGTTGGGCCACCATGTTTGAAATGAGAAAATAAACACTAACAACCCGTGTGTCGACCCGAACGATAGTCGGTCCAATCTCGAACAAAATTTGTAATTTTGTCTTACATTCCTTAAAAAATACTTCCTATATATTATTGATATTGAACTGTGAACTATATTGGAAATAACTGGAAATAATTTTAGACCGACAGAAAAACGCGGTTATAATTTTTGTATTTTTTAGCTAGCATCCTAACATATTTGTACAAATATATCTACCAACTTTTGGAATAGTGCTCGCAAACCCAACACGGCTAGTTCTATCATCAAAGTGCACAAAAGGTAACTATATTTTATCATCTGTTATGTAGTTTTTCGCCCTGTATTTCTTCTAAATAACGAAGTCATTAAATTGAAAGTTGGTGATCTATGTAAGCACAAGCATAAGCAAAAAAGGCCTTAGTTTTTTACCTCTTTTCTTCGGTGATTCTCTAAAGGGATTTTCTCTGTGTAGTCCCTCCACAAAAACAAACACGCTCAAATCAAATCAGTGAGTTAGCAGTGTCCTGACATAGATCAGCTCAGAGAATGTTTCAAGAGTTCGATAAAATTGTAAGCCTTTTTTTCAATTCATGTTGGTGGTTTTCATAAGAATGACGATAGGAAACACTCCCTACACACAGTCACAACCCACTCAGTAAGTATTCAACTTCTACGCAAATGCGAGCAAATCTTTTTATCATTTGTGCCACCAATGTTCACAAATAAGGTAACTAAAAATACAGCCTAAGTATTCTGAAAACGATTGTTCCGAAACTAAGTGACTCTAGGAAAAGTCACTGACGAGGCACAGTTTGTGGGTTGACTGTCAGATCTGTAGTTCAATCACCAATGTTGTTTTATAATATCCATTCTACCCTGCTTGCAGCATTGCGGGGAAGAAAAGCCACCTCTGCTTGCAGGGTAACATATTTCGTACCACTTCTAACCAGTCTTTAGCTTTAAATGCTCTCAAAACAGAGCATTGATTGAAAAAGGCGGCGACACGCGCGACGTTGACTTTCGACTAAAGGAACTAGCAATGTTAAATAAATCAATTTTCTTATTTATCTTACTTTATACAGTATTTACCAATAATAGGATTGTTAACAGAATACTGATATGAGTAATCAAGCAAAACTGTTTTAAAATAGTTTTGCTTCATTACTTATATTAGTAAAAAAAATTCTGTATTGTTGTGAGCTTTCGCTTATGGTATTCACGACGCCCATAGTACATTTCGGGCTTAGTAATATGCAACAAAAAACGCTTCTCCAAACAAGCGATTTTGAGGCTTTTTCGCAGAAGAAACACTTCAAGTCACATAATAAACTATTAATCTTTATTTCCAGATAATGTTTTTTTTTTAATACCGACTACTTAAGAGAGATTTTAGTAGCAGAATTTGAACTTTATCGATAAACAGCCATCTCTGTACCACAGGGATCCTTAACCAGAGAAATGTTTTGAAATAGTAGCTGTTTTTCGTGGAAGATTCTTTAGTTACGACTTTAATTACACAATTCAGTGACCCTTTTAATTTTGGTTTATAATTTTCCAATTTCAAACAGTTTAGTTAACCCTGTCCAAACGTATCCGGATATTTTTTGAAAACGGAATTTCTTTGCGAATATTGGCCTCTTGATACGTCGCCCGAAAACGCAACTTTTCGAAAACGGAAATGTGTGGACGGACAAAAACGATTCGCAAAACCCTACGCGTGGAAGAGAATTATTTTTGAAAACGGAATAAAAAATCTGTATCCAAAAGTATCAGGATACCTGAGACCGTTAATCAAAGCAGCGCGCACTCGTATTTCCATTTAAAAAAAATTACAGACAAAGAGCATTTTCACGTGCTGTTCACATATCACACTTAGTTCTCTAGTAAAAAGTTCTGATTTGAATAAATTACAAGACAGTCCAACATTTTCGGTTGTCATCTACTTGCTTCTTGCTTTCGGCCCGGACAACAAAGAGAAAGAGGTTAGGGTCCCATTTGTGATGAAAGTTGGAATAATTTAAAACTATTTACCACAGTTAGGCAGCTCTACTGTCAGTTGTTCATCAAAAGTCATTCAAAAGAAAACTAGAACAACAGCTTAGAGCGAAAACTCTAGTGTATGGCTAAAATTACTGAATGATTTAAGTCTGCCATCTGTCATTTTATAGAAGAATGCAAAGAAACTAGCAAAGCAACCAGTAATTGAAGGAAGAGAAAAAACCAATGTTGACTCGAGAATTCAATGTGTTTAGAATTAGGAGCCCAGAAGGTGAGTATTGTTTACTGGCCTGTACATATCTGTACATCAAGAATCCATTTTTAAAAGTGAATAGATTTTAAGAAAGAGGACAACAACCTTTGAGCAAGGCATGTTGCAGCAGAAAAACCTTGCAATAGAACCCTTGCTTGTGATGTCAAAGGAGATCAATTTGGAGGACAAAACAAAAGAATTTCAATCTCATGAGAATTGGAAACCTATTGTTATGTCCTTCAAATTGAGCTGCATTTCCGAAGTGCCATAACCAACTACTCACTCACTTCTACTACCACTACATTCAAATTCTAAGTATATCCCCTTAACACTTCCCTGTACTATCTTGATAGTTCATCATGCCTGTGCATTGAAGGACGATTGACAGTGACCTTGCAATGATAGAGACATAAAAATAATAATTATCCAAGGTGTTAAAAAAAGTTTCTATGATTTGCAAGGTCACCTCTGTTCTGGCCACGATGCACTGACACAGTAAACTTTGAAGATGGCACAGAAAACTGTGAAGGAACTATTACACTTTCAACTCGCTGATTTTATGGAGTAAGGAATGTGTTGATTCTCTCTTGTGTTTCATGGGTTTTTCAGTTTTCTTCCTGCTGTAAGAATCAACCAGGGAGGGGATCAAACCCTGAAACAATCTTTGGGCTGATCAAAGTCAGGACACTACTAGTTCACAGATCAAACCCTGAAACAACTTCTGAGCTGATCTAAGTCAGGGCACAGCTAACTCACAGATCGAACCCTGGAACAACCTCTAGGCTGATCTAAGTCAGGGCACGGCTAACTCACAGATTAAACCCTGAAATAACCTCTGGGCTGATCTAAGTCAGGGCAAGGCTAACTCACAGATAAAACCCTGAAACAATCTCTGGGCTGATCTAAGTCAGGGCAAGGCTTACTCACAGATCGAACCCTGAAACAACCTCTGGGCTGATTTAAGTCAGGGCACGGCTAACTCACAGATTAAACCCTAAAAGCAGTGATTGGGCTACGCAATTTTGAACTTCTCAAAAGGGTGGGTTGTCTATAAAACTTTACATAAGGTGTGGGTCATTTTTCATTTCACGCATGGAAACCTAGGGGGGGGGGGATCATTTTTTTGACCTCATTTTATATTGGGCCAGCAAAAATAGAGCACCTTCAAATCCAGTTTTCCCCCTGCCCCCCTCCCCTCCCCCACCCCTTTACTTTATGACCAGTCCCTTATATTGAACGTAGCTGCATGTTTTAAATAATATGTAATTCAAATTATTCTAGATAATGGTTATTGAGTTATTAACTTTTAAATATGACTCATGCCTTGAAACTTTTAATATGTCAAGAAGGAAGACCACAAACCTGAAGAAATATTCCATATTTTATGTTGTACCAAGTAAGTCCATATGATGTATAATTATATTTATATTATAATAATATATATACACCTACTTGCAAGAACATTGTCATACGAAAATAGAACATTAGTGATTTAGTGATATAGGAATTATATTAAAAAACAAAAGAAGATCACTGAAGCTGAACTTTTTCTTTTGTCTTTTAATGTATTCCTTTCTCACTAAATTACTAATGTTCTAATATCGTATGACAACGTTCTTGCAAGTAGGTGTATATATATATTTCTGCAATCAAGTGTATAGTAATATTTTTTTTAAAGTTAGGATATCCTATAATTTCTGATATACTTTTGATATACTTGTATATATGTACAACGGGTTAAAGTTTTTGCATATGGTTGTATATATAGCCATTTGCAAAAATTATGGCCGTTTCAAATATAAATACAAGTATATTGAAAGTATATCAGGCAGTCAGACAGGGCGGGATATCTTTCTTAATATTTTTTTYAGAAAGCCCTAGTGTTAGATGACTCGAAAAAAATATAAGGGAAGATATATCCAATAATTTTTGATATAATAATAATAATAATAACTTTATTAATGTCTCTAATCTTCTAGCCGGGCACAAGTGCCCTACTAATCGGGGAGACAAAATATGCTTTTGATATACTTTTATATATATTGGATATATTGACCTATATAGATATGGATATAATAAGATATAGATATAAATATAGATATAAATATAGATATAAATATACTAAGTAAGTATATTAAAAACTTTCCCTATGACTAACTTGGATATCCAATATAATTGATTCATTTAAATGAAAACTTAAAAGGCAGAGATCTAATTTTCGGATATGTTAAATTTATATTCAATCTGAAATTCTACACCAAAGAAGAGCTAACATCTGGTCAATGGACAATGCTTGGCCAGAATTGAAACTTGTCCAGTCCAATCTTAATTGCCTTGCTGGTCATTTGTGACCTGTAAAACGAAGCCAGAAATAAAAAACTAATTTGGCCAGTCATCTTGACCAGCGATCATTTTCAGCCCCGCAAAGTTACACGTACCGGTAAATGTACGTTTTTTCACTTACTAAGAGAGGTAATATAAGGAATAATGAATGTAAAGGAAATAAAGAGATGACATTTAAAATAATACAAGTTCCTGTATAAAGAACATTAAATGAAACTTTTGATGGATTTAAAAAAAATGTTCTCAACAATTTATAAACCTTCACCTGAAATAATTATAAATTTAGACAACAAATCCTGTCTTTAAAAAAAAGGAAAAAAAAAAATCTTTAAAGAACTGCTTTTCATTTTTAAACTGGAAGTTGTTTTTTAATAAGATTGATGTAACACTTAAAAGCTCTATAGTACTTAATTAATGGAGCCAAATTTATGCTAATTTTATCAAAAGGAAGATGCTCAGAAGTTTAACAGGAAACTTGGCACGAACAATGTGATGAAGGTAAGGCATATTTCTGTACTATAATAAGTTATGACATCATGCAATAAAGCAGGGATGTTAGTCTTTTCTCTAATACTTATGAAGTTAAGTGTAGTGGTACAACATATAGGTGAACAACTGCTGAGATATGAATATCCTAATGATAAAGAAAAAACTTGACAACACTTCTGTATTATTACTGACAACTTATGTTAGAATTTTACGCTTTTAAAAACGCCTGAAAAGCTACAATTAATGGTAGAACCATTTTTCCTGCTATTGGTTCCAGTGCTTTGATAAAGACAAGTATTAAGACAAAAAAATTTTAACATTTACCTCAAAGTTAATACATTTCAATCCGGAAGCAACCTCCGAATTATATTGATCAAGCCATATTCAATTTAAGTTTTACCCATTAAGTATATATTCTGTAGTATATAGCATCAATAGGCTGGTGATCTTATTATGTGTGGGCTATTGTCTTATTGGGGGCTGAATATAATAGATAGGAATATATATATATTATATGGTGTTAACAATAAGCCAGTATATAGTTATCAGAGAGATAATAACCAAGGCCCATTGGAAGTCTTGTTCAGTTATCCCTACTTAAAGTTTTCAAAAAATCTCCCACATTTGACAAGCCTTTCTCATAGTCAAAGGATGTGGGAATTCATCCTCTTGGGATAAACTTGGAAATACATTTAGCCTTTTGAGAAAATTTCAATAGATTATATTTGGACATAATAACATGTTTTTAAGTTCAATTCTATCTTTAAATGTGATAATAGAACTGGCCTATAGTAACTGCATGTCATTTTCATAGCAATCATCTTACAAAGAGGTAGGTTTAATAGACGGATACAAGTTTTGTGAAATAAATTGTAAAATGCACTATCACTGGTATCCTAAACACCTCACATTTCTTTTAACTGGTGTTTTAAGTATAAAAAAAAAGAGAGAGAAAAAGAAGTACAAAAAACAAAGCAAAATATTGAGCCAAAAATGAAACTTTGGAGTGGTTGTTAAATGTTTCTGGACAAAACATTCCCTTTGGATTGCTTCCTCTTTTCTTTCAAGAGTCAGTTTAGTATGACTAGCAGTCACTTTTTTATTGAACTTTCTCAACATGTGTTTTATTGTTGTAAAGTACAAACACACACACACACATATATATATAAAGTAAGGCTGAGTGTAGAGCAAGCTTTATGTAATATATATATATATATAATAGTTCAAGACTCAAGACTGTATGATTAGCAAAATATACCCCAAGAAAAAGTTAAAATGGGAAAAAATGGAATAATGAAGTCAAAAGGATTGAATAATATAAAATGAGGGGGAAGTGAATGAAGAAGTTTTCTTGGAAACGAAAAAAACAACAAACGATTCAGAAAAGTTAGCTTAGAGACACATAAAAAAATCTATATTCAATTAATATAATTACCAAGGTTTTTAGGTTTAATTTTTAGGATTCAAGCTAGAGTTTAGAATTTTGGGAAAAATCGAGTGAAAAAATGGACCGGAAGCTGGACAACAGGTGATGAAATTTGCTAGGAAAGTTGGACAGGAACCATGATCTGACAATTTGTACTCAACTGAATCGAGGAATATTTAATGATAACACAGGGCATATAAAACAACACCATTAGCAAATCAATCCCCCAGAGAGATATATAGTCACCTAACATAGTTTTTAAAATTACTTGATTTATCGAAACGACAAGAAAAAAGTGTACATCCGGTTTGGAACGTTAAAAAATCTTCGGTAGAATTTCGAAATTGGGGAAAATAGTCCATTTTTATTATTAAAAAAAGATCCCGACCTTAAAGTCGTGAAGAAAAAAGAAACAAACGAAAGAGATTGATTCTGAAAGCACTTACTTGCTGGAAAACAGATCCAGTGTTTCTTTTGAAGGTTTTTTACGGAATCGTTTGAATCAATGACTCCAAACAATTTTCAAATTTGCCGGCTTTGCGTTGTGTTAGCGAGTCGCCATTCGAGCTTCTTCATTCCTTCGCCATTCGAGCTATACTGTTCTGAGTCTCGCTTGATGCACTCTCTTGAAGTAAATTATCCTTTTTCTGCTGGAACAATGTAAAAGTAGCGGGACAAATGCATTATTTTCGAGCTTTTTTGAACTAAATGTTGGGGTTTTTTTCATCCCACGTGTTGCGCGCTCTGTATTGGTTGGCAATACTATACCCATGATCCTTTGCGAGCACAGGCTTCCCACGCGTAGATGTGAAAGAGAGAAAGGCCAGTCCCACGCGCTTATATGCACACCGTCATTTAAGAAATATTCCGCGAGAAGCAAAAATCAAAATGCGCATAAATTGGTCAAACGCCCACATCTCTCAGTTAAATGGCAACCGCCACGTACTTTCTAACTTTCAACATTTCGTCTGGATTTCAATTTCAATTTCAACGATTTTTTCCCCCGTCGCCCTCGTTAATCAGCTCGGCTACGAGCGCCAGTACATGTCTTGAAAGGCATGACCGTGGCTTGCCTGACCATGGGCTTTATTAAGTCATCGGGGGTTATTTTGCAATCCAGGAAATCAAGGGAGCATTAGCTCTTCGACTCCGCGTTAGAGTAGTTTAGTAGATGATCAATCGAATTTATCGTTCGAAAACTAATCGGTTTGGTGCACGATTTGCCGGCTAGGAAAATGGCTTGCCGCCCAGGCGATAGTTTGAACGAGTAGATGGCTTTCCACGTACAATTTACACTTATTTAAGACAATCCATCTTTGAATTAGAAAAACTCATTGCTCAATTTGACCAACTTTTTCTAAAACACGAACAATATATTTATCACTATTCGATAAAACATGCGAAGAAAAATGTCCAAAAAGAAGGGAAAATATCGCTGACATCGTTGAACAGAGATAAAACTCTACAAGACCACTTATCGTTTTTCCATCTTCAAGAGCCGGCAACGAGGCTTAGAAGTGAGAGATCCGAGTTTCCAATCCCAACTCAAACGCGCAACAAAAGACTGAACTACTCTTGAATTTCAGATCTTAGTGAAATTGAGAAACATAATCCTGACAGACTAAAAGAGTTGTTAGTGAGATTCAACGATTACTACCTAAAGATACCATATATGCATGCCATTTTTTGTACATAATAGTGACTTCTTGTCACTCGTTTAATCTTAGAAAACGTTTTCGAACGGGACCTAGTTTACAATATCGTTAGTAAAAAAAAACTATTCTTCATTCGGCAAAACGTTTTGAAGTTATTTTTACTGATTCTTTCTCTGAAAGTGTACGTAATTCACGTTGAAAGTTGAATTCAAAATGCAATTCTATTAAGTTCAATACCACAAAAATAATTGGGGACTGAAAAAAGTGAAATCAAGTTTAATTGGGGACTCTTTATTTGCTGCTCTTTGGTGCCGTTTACTAGGTAAAAGTTCCATTATTAATTTAAATTGTTGATGTTCATAAAAACATGACGTTTTACAGCACTATCTATGACATTGTCATATTGCTTCACAAACTCCACCTCGTTTAATCCTTCATAAATCGTGAGTGAAACCACGCGATTCTATAGAGTGCTGCTTGCATGGCAGTCAGGCCATCGAAAAACATGTAGCTCAACATGCAAGTTCGACAAGTGCGAGTGACTCGAGTGCTTTTATTTAATATACAAGTCTAACTTGTTGAAGTGATTTGCAAGTATGATGGCGGCCATTCGCGTCAGCTCTTATTGATGTTCACTTGTGTTAATCAAAAAATTGTCATGCTTTTCTAAACTCGCGCAAAAAACCTTTGGAATTATCCTATCTTTGCAAACAACTGAAATAAAGTCGTTAGAATTCGTAATAAACCTTGTTTTGTTCAGAGCAGAGTTGTTTAGAAAATCTATTGAGGAAAGTCAGAGAATAAGATTTAAAACTAAAAAGAAAAAATATACTGAAATGCAAACCAAACAAATCGTAGTTAACCTAATAAAATATCGCCAGTGTGTTTTTTTACATTATTATTGTTGAAAGTATGGAAAAAATTGAAAATATTTAGTTGTAGTTGTAGTCCTTTTTAATACTCTTAAGGTTATTGCTCAGTTTAGATTTCTTTATTTCAAAATAAATATAAGTATATATATGGCTATTCAAGAGCTGGCTTGCATATCAAATCTATCCAACCAAGGACGTTATAAGCATTGAGTATTTTTTCGAGTTTGAAGCTCTCATTTTCGAACTTGACTAAGCTTACACCGTATGATTTAAACCAAATGAGCATCAGATAATCCGATCTATACACGTTTCTTAGCCTCTTATACTAAGATACGACGACCAATAGTGCTTAAGCAATCTCTAGATGTATTGCTGTATTTAGTACAGTATTGATAAGAGATCGCAATGATACTGTGAATATTTCGTTAGTTTTCTCGCCTGCTTCGTAGGCCTTCGAAACCCTTTTTTTTATTATTATTATTATTTTTTTTAATACATCTTTAATATTAAAGAATATACTAATTTTTATACAGATTTTACATTTTTTCTGCATATTTTTTATCATATATTCATACTATATATTCAGATACTTGCCAAATTGTTCTCCTGTCATTGACTAAATAAAAATGAATGATTTCAATCAAATAAGCTTGGCAAGTGAAATAAATCGTTTGATAAATAACAGTGAGTCATTGCCCCGGCCCACTGCCCCATCCCACATAAGGCGGTAACGATTGAAATGATATTTTGCTCGATTTTTTATCCAAGTTTATAGTCAAAACCCTAGGAGTTGGTTTAAAACAAAGGCATTAACAGTTAAATGGTTTTCGGTAGTTTATCGTAACAATGTTTTGCTTATTCAGGCTTGATTAAACTTTCAAAATGCCAGGCATCATAATAAGATAATTTATAAGGTATAAATAGGGTTTGCTAATCATTCGTTTTTATTCCTTCGTTCGCTCGTACTTTATGCATTCCCACTCAAACAATGACTCATATTCATCTCTGACATTCGTTCTTTCGATCTTTCGTTCGTTTTAAAAAAACTATATTCATTTATTCAATATTGATATAATCCATTACTTCCGCCTAATTCACTCGTTGATTCATTGGTCTTTTTTTCTTTCCGTTCATTCATTAAGTATAGATAAGCATCCTAATATATAGTCCATTACTTTTATTCTTCATTTATCCTGCACCGACCAGATAGTAGAGGTGTAACATGCAGCACTAATATCGAAGACTCACATTGCATGATGTCGTCGTACAAAGAATGCAAACAAATTACGTTTCTTCCCGCACGCGTTTGTTATATCAGCTTGAGCTACACATACGATCGATGCCGTACTTAGAAGTGAAACACTAACGAATGAATACTAATATACGTCCGAAAGGGGATATCCGAAGTGTTGCATTGATTTCTACGTAAGCACGGAGAGGAAAAACTAATTAACCGGGATAAAACTCTCATGAGAAGCACAGGAGAGAATCAACCAACAACTCTACTCACATATGATAATAACCTTTAAAAATCCCGACCTATCTTATCGATGAGCCTTGAAAAAGCCTTGGCCTGATCTAGGTCAGGGCAAGACTAGCTCCCTGGCAGATCGAGCTCTAAAACAACCTCTAGGCTGATCTAAGTCCGGGCACGGCTAACTCACAGATCGAACCCTAAAACAACCTCTGGGCTGATCTAAGTCAGGGCATGTATGGCTAATGGATTAGCGCGATATATATAGGATTTGCCGAGGGAGCAAAACCTTAGGCTAGAGATCAAATCCACTAACTACGCCAGCGATCTAGAGGCCGCATTAGGCATTATAGGATTACTGCCTCCCATATTTAACATCTCAATGCTACGCGCTAAAGTTTAGCTAAATTAAAATATTTTACTACTTAGCTAAACAAGCAGCACTGACATATTACTTGGCGGGAATCATTTACAATTTTGTAAACATTTTCGATCAGCTAATAAGTTGATGATATAAATATATAAATTATTTAATTTGCTCCTCAAAAACTGTGAATAATCGTGGCATGCGATTGGCAAAAAACTGGCGTTTTGCTCTGCTCAATATTGTGGGCTATGACATGCTACCAAAATTTAACGAATTATGATATAATCCTACGAATTTACCACGACTGCATTCAAGTTACGTTACTAAGTAAGCTCTAGTGCTGTAAGTCGTAGCTGACAAAATTTGAGTGGACTTAATTGAAAAGTGGAGTAAAAAATCACTTGATAAAGTGAAATCCGTGAGATCAGTGAGATTCAACTATAACTATATAGATTTACTTGTGTCTGTTTTTGATAAATCGTACCTCTTTTTTCCAGTCGTGAATGATATCAGCTGAATCGGTAGCCATGGCTTCGGTTAAGATAAACGTTTCTGCTCAATATGATCTTTCTCCTATTGGTAGAACTTTGAAGCAGTCTGTGCTCGGTTTAGCTGATAGAAAGATTAATTATATAAGCTATTCTCTTCGCTCATTATCTCGCAAAATCGACGTTAATGCTACGGACTGAAATGGCACGACTATATATTCACTTTTAGAGCTGCTCTCTTCGCGGACTTGTAGTAATTACTGAGTGTTTCAACTTTCGCAACAAAAAATAATAATAAAGAACTTCCGATTTAGTAAATTCAGTACATGCAAAGATAGTCTTGAAATCACTTGTTGGGCACTTACTATAAAGCACTGCGGCCGGACCCCGCTCAAGATGAACGTGACTGACGTACATGACTCACTCTCACGATTCTTCGTAAAAGTTTCTCAATACTATCTCACCCGATATGTTTTCGTCATATCCATCATCTTGGGGCTAAACCAGCTAAAAAGATATACTTAAACTTCAGAATGATACGCTTCAGAACTTGCTGGTCATCGAGTGCGTTAGATATAATGAGTTTAATCAATAATACTTATGGGATAAATTAAATAACGAGTTTGGCGTGCGGTGATATCATAAGTCTCTTTTGTTTCTCTTTAATGTTTTATTTGTTTGTGTCGTTGTTTTTTGCTATTTTGTTGTGGTGGTTTCTCTGTTCTCCTTATCTTGTTTGGCATCCCGTTTATTAAATTATTAGAAAATCTCGCTTAAGATTAAAACCACTGAGTTTGGTAGACATAGTCTGATAAAAAGCGACAATCACGACCTGAAACCTGACATTTTATTGGTTTCGACGATTGACAACAGGTGTTTGAAATGTGAATTCACGCCAAGAATCAAATGGTTTTGTTTTAAATTGCCGAAATTTAAGTGTTTTAAAAAACCCTCGATGTTTGTTTTTTAAAGAAAAAGAATATTTGTCTTTGCTTAAAATGGCCACTTAACCACAGTGCATGTTCATTGAGAGGCAATTGATTACGTGATTCAAGTTTAATAGGTCTGTTTAGACAGATAGATTTAGCGGCTTTATCTTCTAAATAAACTGAAAAATCTATGATGCGAAAGATTTATTAGTTTTACAGGTTTTCAGGGTAACGTTTATTTTGAGAGGATTTTCAATACTCAATTTTTAATAAAACAGAGTTAATAGATCACGTGACATTTGCACATGTTGTAACGAACACCAAAAAGGGAAAAAAGTCGAAAACGATCGTCTCGATATAAGTTAGAAGTTTCAGCTTTTAATATGTGAAAGAGAATAAATGGCATTTAATATAAAATCAAATATTTTGTAGAAATCTGTTTCGAAAATTCAGGCGCTCTGCCGAAGAACGGCGGCGACTAGTCCCACCGTCTCCACACAAGGTAAGACCTCGGCTACGCCACGATTTCCGAGGAAGCTAGGTAGGGCATATTGGTTTAATTATTTTTCCTTGTCATGTCGGATTAGTCACTTTCGATAGTTTCAAACCTATGAAAAAGAAGAAAAAAGAATGAATAAATAAAGTAAATAGATAAATAAAAAAGAGATTTAAGAACTAAGCTATTTAAGAGTCAAAAGGGAGTAGGTCTTTTTCTTACAAATTTCTCGCGCGCTGATTGGCTATTTTTTATCATCAATAAGAGGACAGGCAAATAAAGCTGACGTCAACGAGCGCACGCTCTTTCCGTTGGTTGTTTTAGTCACTGAAAACGAGAAAATTTTATTATCTTTGTTATTGTAAGAATTAAATTGACATCAGCGTTTTATGTGACGTCTGTCCTCTCAGTTGAAGATAAATTACGTCATCACATTGTCAAAGTAGTACGCGGATACACACTACTTTGACAATGTGATGACGCAATTTATCGGTCAATAAGACAGCAGACACATAAAAAACTGATGTCCAATTGTTTATTTATTTACGTAACTTTATCCATGACAATTTTCTAAGTTCCTAATTAAGCTATTATGGAAGTGGTAAGCACGACAGAGCTTGGCTCCAAATTAAGTGAACTCTAACAAAAAACTATATAATAACAACAACGAAAAACGAATAATTGCTAATTAGTAAAAATACGTATACACAGGTGATTATTGAAAATCTCGCGCGCTGATTGGTCGAGAAACTCACACTACCACACGATAATCACATCCAGCGATAATCCAAAATGGCGGGCAGCAGCTTTGTTGATGTTACCGGAGAGGAATTAGAAATAATGAAAGAAAATGCTGTCCCCAAAAGGACTAAAGAGGCTAACAAATTTGCACTAACTTTGTTCAAAGGTAAAAAAGGACTTAAAACAATCAAATAAGCTCAAACAAACTGTTTTGATTTGCAAAGTCGGTGAGTGCGCCTGTGTTGTAATTGAAAGCCGTGTTTGTAACTTCAATTAAAATTTTTCCTAATTTTAAATGTTTCCATCTTCTTTTTTTTTCTTTTTTGAAAGAATCACCTTTGTATTTATACTAAAACACTCGCGTCTCGATAAATATTCCCCGATATTCTCCTTCGGTGAAGAATTGTTAAACATAAGGGCATAATTGACATAAGGACTTTTTCAGAGCATGCTTGTAATATTCCGGTTTTCAATAATTTAACACCCAGTCAGTTCTTTCCCACATTTTCTTCACTGATCTAAAAATCAGGAAACTTGATCTGAAAGACTATTAGATAGATAACTATTAAGATAAAAAGTGATACCGTATCAGTCCTTTAGATTATGTGTATAAGGTACATTATAAGTTCAAAATCTCCGGATTAAAATTTCATAGAGCGATGACGTCACGTTGAGGGCACGTACTGTGGACGTGTACGTAGTACGGTGGCCCACAAAATATTTTCCAGTACAAAAATATTTCCCAGTACAAAAAGATTTTCCAGGACAAAAATATTTCCCAGTACAAAAATATTTTCCAGTACAAAAAGATTTTCCAGTACAAAATAATTTCCCAGTACAAAAAGATTTCCCAGTACAAAAGGATTTTCCAGCTAGGACTAAAAGATTTCCCAGTATTGTCATTGGTGTGGGTTTAAGACAAGTGACAATACCGATCTTTAGGCGCCATTTTCAAGTTTTGCCCCAAATGTGAAACAGAAGCTGTTGGAATACTTAATACCATTAAATTAACAAATAGACATAAGCTTTTTATGTGTCTGTCCTCTTAGGGAAGAGGTCAAAACAATTTTCCGCAGTAGGGACCCGATTTAGGGGGGTGGGGTATTGCCCGCCACCACCTACCTTTTCATGGATGGGGGTGGGGGGGTATATGCCGGTACCCCACCACCTCCATTCACCAGTCATTTCACATAATTTTGTGTGTTGGGGGGGGGGGGGGGG